TATATATATATTAATGTGTTCTTAATAGTCATATTTTTGTTACAGCTGCCGCAAATGTTGAACTCGACAAATATATTAAAAGACGTATGTGCGGTTTTGAAATTGATATCAATTATTATATTTTTATGTTTCGCTATACTTTCCGGCATTCTTGAGAGTTTTACAATTTTTTTTTATTCTGGTAATTTTCTTTTTCTTTATCGATATACGCGGTCGCATACCTTGTATTCTTGATTTTAATATAATAAAACTGGCATGCGCGCGTATAAACATTCGAGTCAAATTACATTTCAATAGTTTGTTTTATTAGATATTAGAAGGTCTTGTCTTTATTAGGTATGTAGAAGATCTTGCTATGATGACCGGTTACATGAGTGAAGTTAAATTAATAGAGGGTTTGATAGTAGCCGCGGCGTTTCTCGGTAGCAAAATAATATTCTTCTTCATGGCAGGTAACTTTAAGATTCTTTTTCGCTTTTTTTTTGTTTTGCTATACAAGAGTTTATCATATCTTGCCTAATACATAATTGGAGACATTTATTTTCTAAGAAAAATATTAGAAAAATATTTTTTTAGGAAAAATATTGAGGAAATTTGGATATGGTTATACACTTACATTTACATTTGCATGCTATATGATAAGGTTGATATTAATATCCGTGGTACCAACGCCATGGTACATAGTTCTAGTAGAAGTTATCCTTCAAGGGCCATCATACGCACTTAATTACTCAACAATAGTAATGTATGCGAGCATAATATCACCACATGGCACGTCGGCTACTGTTCAAGGAATTACAGCAGGAATGAAGGAAGGTGTTGGTAAGCTTCCTTATTTGTTAAACATGAAAAATTATTTTGCAATAAAAAGAGTTTACACAAATAATATTAATATACGTACTTTCTCAATTCATTCAATTACGTATCATATAAATTACTAGAATATTTTTTTAGGATATGCAATTGGTGGTTTCACAGCTGGTATCTTATATAGAAAAATTGGTGGTCGGATAACTTTAAGAATATATGCTGGACTCGCAGGACTTTGTATGTTAATGTTTTTTGTAATTTACACTCTATATCTAAAACAAAAAATCTTAGGTAAGAAACCAAATACTCTGATGTGTCAAAATACGATGAATTTTTATAAACTGTAAATGTAAAAAAACTCGTTTTATTATAGACACAAAACACAATGTTGAATGGAGAAAACCTGATGATGCACAGAGACATTGTGTTGTAGCAGAAACGTAATGCATGTTTACTATAATAACTATATATTTGTTATAATAATATTATGAAATTTTAATTTTATATATATCTTATGATATAAAACGCACATTATAAATATGTGAATTATAGCGTGTGTAGACTTGATCGAGACATTTGTAACTTTCTTCCTTCAATCTTATTGTTTGACGTATTTCGATATAAAAAATATATTCTTAAAAGATATATTTTTTGCATAAACAAATAATGATCACGTAATTATAACGTATATTATGTGATACATAGCGGATTTGTTTATCTACATTAGGTCAGATTAATGTGCATTAAAAATTGCTATTCTGCACACAATGATTGTACAACTTGATTGAATATTTTGTCAATGTAACTGATTTAAATTAAAGGACCAAAGCCTCAAGTAAAGATCAATAATCATCGACCGCACACTGATCGTTCTGTTTCGCAGAGAAAGCAGCTTTGCAACTATGTTAGAATTTTTGGTATGATTGGTTCTTGCTTTCAGTTTAATGTATGGATCCAAATGTATAAACCAATCATATTATGATCGCAAAATATTAATTAACTGTGATTGGTTCATGCGTTCTTGCGATTGCACGACTAATGTCAAACCAACCTTAAAGAATCACAACTTCGATTCCTTTCCAAGTGGAACTATTGTGGTATGTCAGGTTATGTTATGCTGTGTTATACTTTAGTAATAAGTAGACTGACATGTTAAGAATTTTAAAATAATACAATAAAAACTTACATTTTTTTCTCAATTTGATTGCACGATTCGTTTGCTTAAAAATTACTGTTCTTTTTTTTTATTATTAGATTTTACATGATAAAAGGATGGCAAGTACTTGGAGTTTAGATATATTACCGAATGATGTGTTATTCAAAATTTTCGAATATTGCGATGCATATGATTTGATACGGCTTGGCCAGACATGCAAGCGACTCAACGAGTTCATACATTTAGATACAGTTTGGACCAAAAAAAGTAAAAAATGTCTTGTCACGAATCAAGTATCGAAAAGATTTCGTGAAAGGTATGTTAAGTTACATTTACACCATGTGAAGTGTGTGATTCAAATTATAATTTTATATATATGTATATATATATATATATATAAT